AGCAAAGTGTCTCCAGAACTCAAGCCCCATCCTGGTTTTTATCCAACACATTTCCTCATGTGTAGTGTCCAACAAATAAAGTAGTTAATTTTATTTGAATAAAACTCATTTATCTTTTTGCTCTGTAGGAAGGAAAATGAAATAAAAATCTACTGTCTTTGGTGTCAGGCACTCTGCCAGGTCCTTTCACATATGTGATTTTATCTCTACAACAACCAAAGGTATTATTCCTACTTTATATTTAAAAAATGACCCTTGGGGCTTCTCAATGGCTCAGTTGATTAAGTGTCCAACTCTTGATTTCAGCTCAGGTCATAATCTCTGGGTGGTGAGAAGAGCCCCACATGGGCTCTGTGTGATCAAGACAGAGTCTGCTTGAGATTCTCTCTCCGTCCCCCTGCTCACATGCTCTCTTTCCTTTCTCTCTCTAATAAATAAAAAAATTCCTCAAAAAAATAAAATAAAAAATGATCCTCAACAAAGTAGGGATAGAGGGAACATAACTCAATGTCATAGAGGCCCACATATATGAAAGACCCACAGCTAATATCGTCCTCAATTGGCAAAAGCTGAGAGCTTTTCCTCTACAGTCAGGAACAAGATAGGGATGTCCACTCTCACCATGGTTATTTCACACAGTACTGGAAGTCCTAGCCTCAACAATCAGAAAACAAAAAGAAATAAAAAGCATCCAAATCAGCAAGGAAGAAGTCCAACTTTCACTATTTGCAGATGACATGATACTCTATGTAGAAAACCTGAAAGACTCCACCAAAAATTACTGGAACTGATATACAAATTCAGCAAAGTGGCAGGATATAAAATCAACACACAGAAATCTGTTGCATTCTATGCACAAATAAGTAAGCAGCAGAAAAAGAAATCAAGGAATTGATCTTATTTACAATTGCACAAAAAAGCCTGTAAGATACCTAGGAATATACCTAAACAAAGAGGTAAAAGATATGTACTCTGAAAACTATAGAACACTTAAGAAAGAAATTGAGGAAGACACAAAGAAATGAAAAAACATTCCATGCTCTTGGGTTGGAAGAACAAATATTTTTAAAATGTCCATACTACTCAAAGCAATCTATGCATTTAATGCAATCCTTATCAAAATACGATCAGCATTTTTCACAGAGCTAAAACAATCCTAAAATTTGTATGGAACCACAAAAGACATCAAATAGCCAAAGCAATCTTGAAAAAGAAAAACAGAGCTGGAAGCATCCCAATTCCCAACTTCAAGGTATATTACAAAGCTGTAATCATCATGACAGTATGGTACTGGCACAAAAACAGACACATAGATCAATGGAACAGAGTAGAGAACCCAGAAATGGACCCACAACTATATGGCCGACTAATCTTCGACAAAGCAGGAAAAAATATCCAATGGAAAAAAAGTGTCTTCAACAAATGGTGTTGGGAAAACTGGACAGCAGCATGCAGAAGAATAAAACTGGACCACTTTCTTATGCCACATACAAAAATAAATTCAAAATGGATGAAAGACCTAAATGTGAAATAGGAAATCATCAAAATCCTAGAAGAGAGAACAGGCAGCAACCTCTTTGACCTCAGCCATAGCAATTTCTTACTAGACACATCTCTGGAGGCAAGGGAAACAAAAGCAAAAATGAACTATTGGGACTTAATCCAGATAAAAAGATACACTGCAGCACAGCAAACAAGTCAATCAACAAAACTAAAAGGCAACCTATGGGAATGGGAGAAGATATTTGAAAATGACATATCTGATAAAGGGTTAGTACCCAAAATCTATAAAGAACTTATCAAACTCAACACCCAAAAAATAAATAATCCAGTTAAGAAATGGGCAGAAGATGTGAGCAGACATTTTTCCAAAGAAGACTTCCAGATGACTAACAGACACATGAAAAGATGCTCAACATTACTCATCATCAGAGAAATGCAAATCAAAACCACGATGAGATACCACCTCACACCTGTCAGAGTGGCTAAAATCAATAACACAGGAAACAACAGGTGTAGCGATGTGGAGAAAGAGGAAGCTTCTTGCACCGTTGGTGGGAATGCAAACTAGTGCAGCCATTCTGGAAAATGGTACGTAGTTTCCTCAAAAAGTTAAAAATAGAACACAGCAGTTGCATTATTAGGTATTTACCCAAAGGACACAAAAAAATACTAATTCAAAGGGGCACATGCACCCTGATTTTTATAGTAGCATTACCAACAATAGCCAAATTATGGAAAGAACGAAATGTCTGTCAACTGATGAATGGATAAAGAAGTTGTGGGATACACACACACACACACAAACACACACACACACACAGAAGAATATTACTCAGCCATCAAAAAGAATGAAATCTTGCCATTTGCAATGACATGGATGGAGTTAGAGTATATTTCACTAAGCAAAATAAATTAGAGAAAGACAAAATGATTTCACTCATGTGGAACTTAAGAGACAAAACAGATGAACATAGGGGAAAGGAAAAAAAAAAAAAGAAAGGGAAGCAAACCGTAAGAGACTCTTAACTATAAAGAGCAAACTGAGGGTCCATAGAGGGAGGTGGATGGGGAATGGGCAAATGGGTGATGGGTATTAAGGAGGGTACTTATTGTGATGAGCACTGGGTGTTATATGTAAGTGATGAGTCACTAAATTCTATACCTGAAACCAATTTTACCATATATGTTAACTAACTAGAATTTAAATAAAAAAATTAAAATACAAAAAATAAAAAAAAAGAGTAAGAGAAATTAAGTGACTTACTCAAATTCATACAAATACAAAATAGGGCTCAGATATGAATCCACAATCTTACCTCAATCTAGTGTTCTTTATTCTATGCCTTCTTACCTTTCATTATGCTAAGTTAATTCTGGGAAAACTTTTTAATCTGGAAAAAGATGCTTATTGATACACTGCAGCAACTATGATTAAGTACATTTAGAGAAAAAAAAATTTTGTGTAGAAGACCAACCAACAGAATTGATCAGGAATGTCTGGATCTGTTCTTACCCTTTTGGCACAATTTTTTCAGTTATTATTCCAATCAAGTTTACCTACCTCTCCTCTCTTTGTTTAAAATACCAGCCCCAAAGCTGACCACACAGCTGATAGAACCATTTTGGAGAGCCACCTATCAATATATATCAAAAGTCTTAATATTTTGTTTGCATTTTCTCTCACTAATTCTAGTTCTACCAATTTATCCTAAGGAACTTATTGCACAACAAACATCAGAAAGTGTACTACAATTTATGTCTAAAATTGTTTATTATGATATAAAAGTTATAATATGAGACAAACTAAGTATCTAGCAATAGAAAAGTATGTATGGCACGTTTATATAATGTAAAATACGCAGCTATTAGACATGATGTTGTCGACATATATTTATTGGCACAGAAATAGGATCATGGTATAATTTTTGAGCTGAATGTGATTGTATCGATTGATTCGTTTTTCTCATTCTTTTAAAGTCTATCTATATATATAATATATTATAAATACATTTTACCTACTTTCTTTTTTCAATTTTATTTTACCTACTTTCTTATAGACACAGGTCATTTTTTTCTTTTCTTTTTCTTCTTGATATTGTTATGATCCTTATGTCCTCTTAAGAATCCAGACAACATCTCTATGTTAGATACTTCTCTTTCAAATCTTTCTTCTTCCTCCAAAGAAGGGGTGATCTATGCTTTTTCTTTCCATCTTTTGGGAACCTTTCTTACCTGGCATGTTACATTCTGCCTACAGTATGATAATAGTAAACCCCATGATCTAGGTCAGTCAGTTTAGCTCTTGAAATGTAAAGGAGAGATTGTAAAACTAGAAACTATTTTCCTCACTCAACAAACCTTGACTTTCTTTTTTCTCTCTCTCTTTTTTAAAGATTTTATTTATTTATTTGACAGAGAGAGAGAGAGAGAGAGAAGAGAGAGAGCACAAGTAGGTGCTGAGAGAGAGAGCCGCGGAGCAGAGCCTGATGCAGGGCTCGATCCCAGGACCCTGTTATCATGACCTGAGCTGAAGAGAGATGCTTAACCAACTGAGCCACCCAGGTACCTCCTACCTCCAAACCTTGACTTTCAAGACAATTCTTTGCTGTGGAATCAGTAATTGGGTGATGGGCATTAAAGGAGGGCACTTGAAGTAATGAGCACTCTGTGTTGCAGGCAACTGATGAATCACTAAATTGTACCTCTGAAACTAATAATACAGTATATTTTTAATTAAATTGAATGTTAATTAAATTGAATTTAAAGAAAAAATTTAAAGAAAAGAAAAAATATTTTTGAAAAAAAATTATATTTTTTAAAGTCAAAATCTGAATATTACTTTCCCTTTGCATCCTGTCTAAAATTTCTATTTTTTTTCAAAATCAATGGAGGCCTCTGGATGAATAAAAACAAATATGTTTTTATTAAGCTTTTTTTTTAAGATTTTATTTATTTATTTGACAGAGAGAGAAACAGTGAGAGAGGGAACACAAGCAGGGGGAGTGGGAGAGGGAGAAGCAGGCTTCCCGCCGAGCAGGGAGCCTGATGCGGGGCTGGATCCCAGGACCCTGGGATCATGACCTGAGCCGAAGGCAGACGCTTAACGACTGAGCCACCCAGGTGCCCCAAAAACATATATGTTTTTAAAATGTTACCTTCATTAAATATTAACTTTATAGCTTAATTTCAAAAGGAAAAGGATCTTTTTTTAAAATTTAATTTTATTATGTTAGTCACCATACAGTATCTTTACAATGAATGTTCCAATACAAGAACTTGTTATATCTTTTAAATCACTTAAGTCTTATATTTCAAAAAATGTTTTTTTCATAAACATACATTCATGATTACATTTATTACTAGGTAGTTCATAGTAGTGGTCGCTATTTTAACTATGATTTTTTTCATTTTATTTAAAAATTTTTGACAGTGTTTAGGAAAGCAATTGATTTTGTAGGTTAATCTTATGTATACGCTACTTTGTTGAAATATTTTACCTTTTCTAATCTTTTTCTTGGAGGTGGGGAATGATTCTTCTCTTATATGTCCTTGTCAGCAAATGGTGACAGTCCTATCTCTTCTTTGTGAATATTCGTTCCTCTTATTTCTTGTGTGTTTTGCATTAGTTAGAACCTTAAAGAAAGTAAGAAAATGTTAGAATATAGCATTGGTACATAATACCCTTCTCTCTTTCCCTCTCGAACTTAACTGTAAATGCTTCTCATATTTTACCACTAAATTCAGTGTTTCTGCTAGATACCCATTCAGGTATAGGATTTTCTTTCTGTTCCTAGTGACTAGTGCTTTCATTAATTATTCATTCTTTTTTATCAGGAATGGGTGACATCTATCATTGAGATGATCATGCCTTTCTCCTCCTTTAATATTTGATCTAGCGAATTATATGGATTAACTTTCCAATGTTAGAAACATCTTAAATTCTTCAATAAATCCAACTTGTCATGGTGTATTACTAGATTTAATTTGCAAATACTTTAGTATTTTGTATCATAGTGTTGGTTGGTGACACTGGCCTATAGTTGGGAACTTGTCCATCAATTTCTATGCTTTGGAATGGTTGTAACATAAGAATTATCTTTTCCTGGATGTTTTGGCACAATATAATGCCAAGGGAGAAAAGCAATTTATAGTCCATTATGTACAATATGATCTGTTTTTGAAAATATACATATATGAAAAATCTGGATGAATATTTCAAAGATTAATAATATTTCCACAGAGCTAATTATGGTTGTTCTCTTTTCTTTTGCTAAACTATAATTTTTTACTTGTTTATAGTGGATATGAATTTTTTTGTGGAAAAATAGGGGCATGAAATGGTATATAGGTACAAAAGCATATAAAAAGCAGTGACTAGAAACCACTTAGTCTGGTAATATGCTCCCAGGCCCTCTAAAAAGGTACACCTTGCACTGTTGGTTTGATTTCTCTGTGCTAAACCCTCCTGTTCCCTGGTAACACATCCCTATTTCTAGAACTTTCTCTCCATATCTGTACTCATTTCCAACTTTTATCCTGGCTTCTTCTACTCTAACCTTTTCATAGACCTTCTAACAATACTGTCTTTATAGATACTGTAACCTGTTTTTTCCTGATTTGGGGGCATCCTTTGTGTATGCAGTGCCTCCTATCCCCTTTACCTTCCCATGGTTTCACTCACATCATCAGAACTATAGCTTGTTTCTGGTTTGGGAGTTGACACTTGCTCTGCTAAAGGGAAAGCAGTTAATGACGGGTTTCTGGGTTTCTTTTCCTTGGGTTTCTTGCAGGCTATTCCAGATACCAACTTTGCTTCATTTAGATGTAAGAAACATGAGGATTCCGCACTGGCCACTGACTGAAATTTACTTTTATTTTTGACTTGACAACCAAAAAAGAATGTTCCCAAGTGAATCTATTGACTACGGATGAAGTAGTTACAGAGTTCCTATTTATGCTCTTTCCAAAGTTTTCTCTTATACTTTAGAGTTAGGGTTCTCAGCAGTTTTCACAGCCATTTAGAAATAACCTAAGGCAGCAAAGATCATCTACTTCAATAGCCTGAACTAGCTTAGGCTTGAGCATATTGCAGCTTGGGGAATCCTCCTCACCATATCTATTCTTTCTTTATGGGCTGCAGATACTGCCTGACGAGTAGTCTCAGAATGGCCAAATCAGCAAACACACTGCTCCTCCAGAATCTCCTTGGTCAAAATGGTGTTCTTTCCCATCAGTGCACTCTTGCAGGTCTAACAAAGGGGTCTGCCTGGGGGTATGGGAAATAGGTCTTCCCTTCCTTCTACCTGTTTGCCATAGTGTTGTGTTAGTCTCTATTTATGTCTCATGTTTAAGGACCCTCCTCTGAAATCTACCAAACTAGTCTTGATCAAGTGGTTAGGCAGTTGTAGTTTTTTATGAGAATTCCAGACAAAGTCTTCCCACCCAGGGTCATTAGCCTCACCAGGATGGAGTTCTAAACAGAGTGACCATATTGTTTAATGGTTAGGACTATGGAATCTGGAATAGATTGCCTGGGTTCAACATGGACTCCACAAATTTAATTATGTTTACATGAGCAAATTCATCCTTCTTTACCCCCTTTCCTATTCTGTAAAATTGGGGAAAATATGGCTTTAGGTTGCTGGGAAGAGTAAGTGAGAAGGTGAATATAAAGCTCTTAGCAGAGTGTCTGGCTGTGGCAGGTCCTCAGTAAATGCATTACTATGGTTTGAAGTGTGTTTGAGACAATGTTCGGAAGCAGTGGCTGCTGGCTCTGGGGTCTGCTTCCCATCTTCATTGCTTGCACTGTCCAAATACATCCTCTTTGTCCATTGAGTAACGCCACACCTGGTGCACAGGGGCAGTTTTGCTCTCCACAGCAACTCCTGTTTGTTTGTTTGTTTGTTTTTTAACAACTCTGCAGATGACACAGACAGAACATTCTGTCCTCATGGTTCTCCAGTCTCCTTACTGGCAAGGATCTTCCCTTCCTCTTGTGCCTTGTTATTTGTGCTCAGGGCCACAGTCCAGCTCTCATTACCTCTTTTTCCCCCCAAAGATTTATTTATTTATTTTAGAGAGAGAGTGCATGCATGTGTGTATGTGCGGGGAGGGGCAGAGGGAGAGAATCTCAAGCCTACTCCCTGCAAAGCATGATGCCCATCACAGGGCTTGATCCCACAGCCCATGAGATCATGACATGAGCTGAAACCAAGAGTCAAATGCTTAACAGACTGAGCCACTCAGGCCCCTCTCTCTTTACCTCTTAAACTGTTCACTGATACTCACTTCTTATTACAACCTGTGTCCTTTCTCCTTTCTTACATGCCCTCACTTCAGGAGTAGTTGGACATAGTAGTTGGACCTCACCAAATCCTTTCCAATGCCATGTCCTGTCATTTTCCATCACTTTGTTCTCCTGTCTCTGTATTCAGCCTAGGGTTCATGATCTTTCATAACAGCATTGCCCTAGTCCCACTTGTTTGCTTCCATTGCACTTACTCCCAAAAATGTCAGCTCTTAGACTGATCCAAACCCTAGTCTTCAGTGCTCAGAAAACCTTTATGGAAGACTTATAGTCTTCAGCGCTCAGAAAACCTTCATGGAAAGAAAGAAAGTTGAGATAACTAGGGCGAACAAGAGAAAACAAAAATCTTTCCCTGTGAGGGAGAGTATTTCAGATGATCTTGCTACAGGCTTTTGAGAGATATATGTATATTCCCTAAACGACCCAAGTTCCTATTTTTCCCTAAAATCTAAGCAAAAGGGTTGATTTATGCCTGATTGTTTATTTATGCTATGGTTTGTTTTTTTTTTTAAATGTAACCGTGTGGAATAAGCCAGACAAAATTGACTTCATTGAGGAAGTTGTGCATTTTTATCTTCTTTAGAATAATTGTTTTTCTTTGTTTAGCTCCTTATCGTGGAGACTCTGTATCCTAATATTAGAGCAATATTAATGCCTATATATATTATATATATACATATGTGTATATATATTCTGGTAATCTAGCATTATAGTCTTAAGGTTGCTGACTCATAACATTACTTAGAAATGAATTTGAATCTTGGAAAATTATGAAGTTCAGTTTGTAATATTCTAAACTTCTGGGGCTAAAATTTTAAAATATAAATTTTATAAGATTAGACTTCAAAAGATTTTACTGCAATATGGTATTTACCAATTACTTGGGGGGTGACTATATAATGTTTTTCATAATTACATCTTAGTTCCTTTTCAAATATTCCAAAAAACCACTTGAAAATGTGTGTGTGTGTGTATGTGTGTGTGTGTATAGACAATATTAGCGAGGAAGTCAGAATATTTCTTGTGGGAAAAATAAATTCAGAGCAGCAAATAATATTGTCTACTGTGTGCCAGGTCCAATTTTAGTATATGTGCTGCCGAAGTGAGCACATGTGTGCCAGGTCCAGATTTCTCACTAAATTTTGAAAAAAGCTAGATCTAGCATTTTTTTTAAATAAAGGAGATAAGGCTCAAGTTTTTTTTCTTTCCATACAAGCTTGCTTTCTAAATCTCAATCATGATTTTTTTTTTTAAGGCACTTTTCAAATACTGCATAAATGGCTTGCTCTGTGCTGAGTTGTAGAATGAGGGCAGGTCAGCAGGAGACCTGTGTTTGGCAGAACTCAAATCAATCCACCTGCCTTTGTTAAGAACTTTTATTATCCACAGAATTTATCTTTGGCACTTTCTTTTCTAGGTAAATTCATCACTCTGCTTACTTAAGAAATGAAAAAGCTGAAATAATATTCTTTGCCAACTCTTTCATGAATATGGTTAGTACTTTTCACACAAAAAAAATTTAATTTGGGGTGATTCTGTCACTGCCAGTAAAGAGAAGGAGAGAGGTGGAGATTAAGGGAAAGAAACAGGTAAGAGAATTGAGTGCAAGAGGGAACAGCAGTACAGCATCTACAGTAAACCCCTCCCCCCTTATCCACAGATGATGTGTTCTGAGACCCCCAGTGGATGCCTGAAACCACAGATAGTACAAAATCCTGTACATACTGTTTTTTCCTATACTTACATACCTATGATAAAGTTTAATTTATAAACTAGGCACAGTAAGAGATTAACGACAGTAAGTAATAAAATAGAACAATTATAACAATACACTGAATAAGAATATGTGAACGTGGTCTTTCTCTCTCTCTCAAAATATCTTTTGGGTGGGGTACTTACCCTTCTTCTTGTGGTGATGCTGAGAGATGATAAAATACCCACGTGGTAAGGCAAGCGAGGAGTGACGTAGGCGATGGGACCGGGGCGTTGTGACGTGAGCTCTGTGACGTAGCATTAGGCGACCACTAACGTTCTGACTTCTGATGATTGGTCAGAAGGAGGAGCCGCTGCTCCTGGACCGCAGTTGACTGTGGGTAACAAACCTCTGAGAGCAAAACCAAACTGCAGATAAGAGGGAACGGCTGCTATTGTGTGCCTAACGTCATGCTTGGAGCCTTAGCGAATGTGGAAGAAATAAAGTAAGACACTTCCAAGCCTGATAGACGGCACTTCATCTCCTGTGGCCACCATGCACAAGTAAGCAATGAGATCATGCCCCTGATGATTCTTGTTTTTTTCATCAGTGCTGTTTTTGCCCACACGATCTCCTGCGGTTTATCACATTCAGTCCAGCCAGGGAATATCACTGCTTCGTTCACATCTGTGTCCCCAGAACCTAGCCTGATGGGTGCTCAAATGTGTGTTGAATCAATGTGAATTGATAAATAAAACAACCTTAAATATCCAAGTGGAGACTTGCAGTGAGGAGTCACATAAGCAGATGGGGAATTTAAAAGGGATCTGGGTGAAGAGGTGCGTTTTGGAGTCTGTCAGGATTTTGCAGTTTGAATTAATTTCTAAGCGTGGTGTTGGTACAGACTGAAGACAATGCTGGTACCTTTAATCTAACTTCATTCTCCACTGCCCTTTGTGATGGTCTTCAGTGTTGTTCGCCAATTATTCAACTTCTTCCCGTTTGGGAATATGTCATGTGACCATTTCTAGCTGGTGAGTTTAAGTGGAATTGACATATGTCACTTTCAAGCAGAGCCCTTAACTGGTAAGGTAAGACCCTCCAGAGCTCTGTATTTTCTTTAGCCACAGTTACTGACAGTGTTCTCCATAGCAACTAATCTATCAACCTGGGCCCCCAAGCAGACATTGGAGAATAGAATGGAGGTCCCAGCTGACTTTCAATGACATGTAAAATGACCTAGAAACAAACCTTTGTTGTTCTAAAGCTCCGAAATGCGGGTGGTGTTTTACTATACTGTAGCCTATCTTTCCGGATACATTTCCCCACCTGAAATACATAAGAAGGCCTACTCCCAGTTTTCCTATGTCTTCGTCTTTGTTCTTTGGGTTCCCCCTACCTGATTTATTCTTACCTTTCTCTCCACTTACAGAAATCCTAACCCTTCTTTAAAGACCCAACTTGAGAGAGTCCTACTTCCTTCAAAACTTTCTGTGACCATTTCAGTACTCAGAGCTGGGTCCTTCCTCTGAGTTCCTGAAGTCCCGTTTGTAAGTGCTATTTGTTTCTTATCTATTGTTTTGCATGATAATTTTTTAAATGAGCACATATGTCCCCACTTAAACATAAAACCCTTGAAACCATCAGACATCATGTTTATCATTCATTGAATCCCTCACCTCAAACCCCCTCTTAACTTGAAGGGATTACCCACAGAATTAATGTGTTCATTTATCCAGTCTGCCAACAGACATTTAATAAGTGCCTACTATGTGTGTGGAAGAGACTGGTTAGTTGTTAAACCTTTTTGCTTTTCCTCCTGTGCACATAGCTAGACCACATCTCTCAGCCTTTCTTATAGTTACATATAATCATGTGACTGAGTTTGGGCCAATGAAGTGGGGATAGAATGATGTTGAGTGAGTTCTCTCTTGGCATATCAAAGTCTCTTGCTTTGACTATCTTTTTCTTTCTTTATTGATTCTGGGACATGCTTAGAATTGATGTGCTAGTGATAGCAGAGCCTTCATCAGCATGAGTCACTGAATGACTATATGGGAAAGAGCCACCATCTGTCCCATCGATCTACTATTTGAAATTTGAGTGAATAAAACTTCCATTGTTGTAAACCATTGAGAATTAGAGTTTTATCTGTTATAGCTGCTAGCATTATCTTAACAAAGAGACTTGAGAGTAAGGGGTTGTCATTTTAACACCATGGTCAGGGTGTTCTTATTGAGAAGGTAACATCTGAGCAGACTTGCAAGAGCAGATAGTGGGAGCCATGCAGATATGTGGAGAAAGAATGGTCTGGGCAGAGAAAACAATGTGTGCAAATGCCCTTGTGTTTCCCTGGCATGGTCAAAGGATAGCAACTACCTCCATGTGACTGGAGCAAAGAATGATGGATGAAGTAAATGAGAGGGAAGGGATTGCCAGGTGTTTGAGGGCTAGCCTATTCTAGGCAATAGATCTAGTCTTGTACCTCAAATGCCCATTATCTTCTTTTTCTCAAGCCCATGTTAAATTATACAACTGCTCTTGAATATCTTATCCTGAAACAACTATAATATAAACGAAATGTCCTGATTATAATCCTCCTTACTAAACTTTTAAACTTCAAATTCCATCTTAATATTCCTTTGCAGGTATAGCAAAATTCACGTGTCCCACGTAGGTTCAGAAGAAAGAGTTTGTGCAGCTTGCCAATCCTTATAAATCAGGCCACAAGCACAGTTAAATCATGACACTTTCTACAAGAGCACAGAGGAACTTAAAATCAGTCCATACTTCATACAAATTCATAGGATGCTAGTGATTGCTGTCAGCTACCAGTGCAATGGGAGGTCAACCTGAGATGTCTCAATATTTTATTCTACTCTGGAATTTGTTCCAACAATTGTCTCTCCAGGTGAGCTGCAGTTCAAAAAGATAACTAAATAGCTTTTCTTTCATTCTTTAAATATAATTAAGTCACGAGTTTTGCTAGACATGGCTATTTAGTATGTTCATTTTCTCTTACCTTAATATCTGAATAGCATTAAGCTTAAACGGTTTCTTTTACTGTAGTTAGTAAATGACCAGTAGTAGAAAGATGAATGAGCAAATGCCACAGAGAAAATTTATGAAAGGAAAAAGTAAAATGCCTAGTGGATATGTGGAAAATATTTAATTAACCCGGAAATAAAAATTGCATGGGTATACCATTTTTTAGAATTCATCGAATTGGTAAAGTTTTAATAAAATAAATCATAATGATCCTTTTCTACAAACATAGAGGAAAACTTGCTTTATCATACATTAGAAGTATGATGTAAGCTAGAAAAAAAGTTAGAGAACAATTTTGCAATATATATTGGAATACTTACTTGGATTTCCAACCCTACTTGGAAAAGTATATGTATTTCTAGCTCTGCCCATGAGAGAGCCTAAGATTAGTAATAATACCCTAGTGGCAACAAACACAGCCCGTCCCCAGATCTTGGTTACTGAATACAATTCTCCAGTTAAAGGAATCAAGAGAGGGGCGCCTGGGTGGCTCAGTCGTTAAGCGTCTGCCTTCGGCTCAGGTCATGATCCCAGGGTCCTGGGATCGAGCCCCGCATCGGGCTCCCTGCTCAGCGGGAAGCCTGCTTCTCCCTCCCCCACTCCTCCTGCTTGTGCTCCCTCTCTCGCTGTGTCTCTCTCTGTCAAATAAATAAAATCTTTAAAAAAAAATAAAGGAATCAAGAGAAATGATTGATTATAGGGCTGGCTGTAGAAAATACCAAATAAGAACCTTGGGACATCTTGTAGTGCCAGAAGTAAGGAAGGATAAACAAAAAACATAGGAGCCAGTCAGAGAAAGACAAATACTCCATGGTATCACTTACAAGTAGAATCTAGGAAAAAAAAAAAACAAAACAAATTCATAGAAACAGAGAGTAGATTGGTGGTTGCCAGGGGCTAGAGGCTGAAATAAGAAGAGTTTGGTAAAAGAGTAAACTTTCAATTATGAGTTGAATGAGGTCTGAGGATCTAATTTATGGCATGGTGACTATAGTTGATAATATTGTATTATGTAATTGAAATTTGCTAAGAGAATAAATCTTAAGTGTCTTTACCCCCTTCTTCCAAGAAAACTACTATGTGAGCTGATAGATATGTTCATGAACTTGGTAGGAATCCTTTTCATTATGTACATGCATATCAAATCATCATGTTGTACATGTTAAATATATTACAATTTTACTGTTGAATTATACCTCAATAAAGCTGGAAAAGCATAGAAGCCAATCTGAAAGAGTTGGCCAAAGCTAGAATACTATGAGGAAGAAATAAATAAATGTTGTATTGAATTATAACCCAAAGAATAAAATGAATGTCCATGAATCCATACTGATGTAAATCAGTCAGTCAATCAATGGGGGAGAGGAAATCCTTCTTACAGAACAATTCCAAAGAATTTATGGAGGTACTATCCCCTTTAGGAAGTAGAGCTTAATGTCCCTTCCCTTGAGTGTTGACTGGACTTTGTGATTTGCTTGCAAAGAATGAAGTATGGAAAAGGAGAAATAGTAACTTTACAGTGGAGACATCTGGTAGACACCACTCTAACCAAGTGGTCAAGGTTAATATCACCAGTAATAAATCATGATGATATCACATACCCTCTGATAGGATGCAATGAGAAGGGTACCTCACCTCTCTGGTATTATTCTCTGAAACTCATAACCCCACTCTAATGATCATGAGAAAACCCCAAGTGAGGGACATTCAACAAAATACTTCACAAATACCCTTCAAAAATATCAAGGTCTTGTAAAACAAGGAAAGCCTAAATGTCACAGAACTGAGGAGACAAAGCAGACATGATGACTAAATGTAATATAGGATCTCGTACTGGATCCAGGAGCAGGAAAGGACTTTATTGGAAGAACTGGTGCAATCTAAATAAAGTCTAAGGTTTAGTAAAAATAATCATAATAATAACAATAAACCAAAACACAAAAAAATCCTTTGAGCAAACACTATCACTCATAGGTATTTATGCTGTGGGAACAATTATGACACGTGTCAGTGGCTCTCAAAGTTTAGCCTACAACAGAATCACCTGGAGGGACTGTTCTAACCAGATTTCTGGGCCCTTCTTCCAGAACCTTATTCAGTATGGCTGGAGGGTGGAGGGAAGGAGGAGTGTTGGTCTTGCAACTCATTCCCAGGTGCTGCTGCTGCCCTGGTCTGGAAACCACACATTGACAACACTTTCATCTGCAGATGCTTCCTACAAGGATATTTACTGTAATTATCTCTTGGATTATATAATTTTTGTTTTATTACCTTTTCATTAATGTCTTCAAATCTTTAAACATGTTCCTGGATGTTTCAAACGTTTCCATAGTATGTATGTGTTGCTTTTGTAATAAGAGAAAAAAAGTTTTAAGTTAAAAATGTAGCTCTTTTTCACATAAGATTCTTGTGCCTGAAATGAGATTTTTGCATTCTTGAGGGCAGACTGATGCACAAGAAATGCTATTGGTGGCTGCTTTTAAAAAATTAATATTCAATTTATTAAAGTGAAAAATTGAAAAACTTAGTTTTCTCTTAAGCTTTTAAGTTCAACCTAAAAATAGTATTATTATAGTTATAAATCTAGTAACATTTAACAATCACTTCCAAGGAAACTTTGATTAATATTTTTACATTCTCCTAAATATTCTGTCCCATTTACAAACTTGGCTAAACTCTCCTAAAATGTTTTAAACTTCATTTATAAATGTAATATATTAGATTCTATTTTCACATATTTTAAATAAATGTTCAGCAAGCAAAACTTTCCCATATACTTTGATGTTGCATGTAAATCCATTAAATGATACTTTAAAAATATAGAGAATCTAAGTTCTTTAAAAATGTTCTAATATTATTTACAAACTTAGCCAAAAACTCATACTGTTCAACTTAGAATTCCAAGTCTAAAATCAATGACTCAGTTATATGTCTTACATTTTACTTGTAAGACTAATCTTTCAGAATTTCAAATTTTAAAAAATATAACAATTATTTTAAATGCCAAAAACCCAAGATTATTCCTAAACCTAAAAACTGAAAATAGATGATCAGTTCTCTGGGTCTAATTTACTTCTTCCCATAAGTATTGTTATGGGCTGAATTATATTACCCAAATTTATATATTGATTTTATAACCTTCAGTACCTCAGAATGTGACCTCATTTGGAGATAGAGTCTTTGCAGAAGGACTAAGTTAAAATGGGTCTGCGTTGGGGGGTGATACCACAAGAAGGCAGAGAGGAGACCACAATGACTGTGTCATAAGTTAGGGAGAGCTGCTAAACTGAAAGCTAATAACTGAAAGGAATACAGTATGAGGAGGTAAAAATAACTTAACTCCTCACTGGGAAGAGAGACTATGTTAATAGGGAAACACCCTAGAGAAGTTAATATATTAATTCTTTCTCACCATTAGAAACACATTCGCTTGGGATAAGTGATAGTGTCTAGCAGAGTCCACTGTTAGCCAGTTCATAATCCTTGAGTAAGATGGACAAGA